TGAGGCCCAAGGCTCTACTACTATCATTACATGGTACTTCTCTCTGATTTTTTATGCAGTTTTCAAGTGGTACCGCCGTCTCTGTGCCTCTGCAAGCCGACAATGTCACATTTGGGACGACCAACGGGCCAACGGCAACCTTCATGGGGTCAGGTCCGGATCCCAGGCAGCCCGCTTCGCGCCCTCACGAGGTTTGTACTAACACCGACTTGGAGTTTTCTTACATTATTCTGATGCGCTATAAATAGATTGTACAATATGGGGATGAACTCTTCGTGCCAGATCTAGTGAGTCACGATCTTGTGGATGATATATTTTGGGAAATGAGACTAAAGCTACGTTTACCACAAGGGGGCCGATAAAATTTGGAGAATTTCACGATCTGAGGAAAATACAGTATGGAACGTATCCGGATTTATTCAGCAACCCATCGGCAGTGGACCACGGCACATCGTTGCTAAGGGTAAACTCGTGCCCCACTGCATTTTGCTTCGTTTTCTTACAGCTTTGGCAGATGGAGTCATATATGCACTACACGAATTGATCAATACGGTGACCGCGCAAACAATTCCACCAGTCGGCAGCTCGACCGCCCCTAAGCTTCTCGCGTCTTTCACCACACTCCCCGGCGACGTGGCCCCGGGCAGTGAACACGGTGTTGCGGAAATCATGATGCCTCCGACCTCACGCGAGTTCCCAGAAGAACTTTTGTATATCTCCAACCGCAACACCTCTCCTGATCCAACCCTGCGTGACCCGCGTGGCGACACCATCGCTATATTTGCCACCAAACCGACGCTGAGGCTGGTCAGGCAGTTTTACACAGGTTTACAGCAGCTTAGGGGTGTGGCTGTTGGGGGGGATAGGAATCAGTATATTGTTGCTGCTGGACAGGTTGATGGCGGGATGGCAGTGTTCGAAAGGATCGACCAAGGTCGAAACTTGCGGGCTGTGGCGAGATATCAAGGAGAGGGAGCGGTTCAATTGGTGACCTTCGCATGGATGTAAGGCGGAGTAGGTGTACATTTTGGGGATCTCTCAAGTATTCAGAATTGTGTAAAGTTGCAAGAACACTGAGCGGATGTTGACACCTTAACATGCTCTAAACCCTCTTGAGAGTAGTAGGAAATAGGCAACGATACCTATTTCGTACCATTTCTTGTTTACCACCTAACTTCCATATACATATACGGAAACTAATTCGGGCAGGAAAGGATATTTTGGAAAATGAAACCCCCCCCCTCCCCCCAAAAGTCGATAAATAGAGCAATTTAAATGAAAACCTGGTCATTCTCATCTTCTAACCCCATAATCCGTCCAGAGCCAAGCTCTTCTTCGAGGGATATCTCCCCATTTACATCCCGCTGTATCTTAATAGCTGAGTGCATACCCCACGAGTCGCGCGGGACTGCCGTCACTGATTCTAAAGTTCTGCATTCCTCCGCAAATACACGCGCTACTATCAGTAGGGGAATTCTGCACTCGGGAGAGACAAATGAGTCAATCCCGCCATTGTCCGTCGCCAATATATACAAACGTTTGAGGTTTGAGAAGTTAGCGAGAGCCAGCGCAATTGGCTCCTTGGATAACAAAGATATTAGGCAAACTAGAAAAGAGTTAATGTGTTCTCACAATGGGTGGCTTAGACTCTCCAATGAGCTCAAGTTCCTCGAGATTTGGGGCGCCACGTGCGAGGGACATGATGTAGTTCGCGTCGAACGGGCGCGCGGCCTTTCTTTTGCTAGATTCGCTAATGTTCCCGTGCTCATCTTCGAGCCACCGACTGCCTTCCCAATTGACCTTTCGGGAGTGATTCGAGGCGCCCTGGTATATCCCCAAGCTACGAAGCGATGCAAGCCCATTTGGGAGTACAGATCGAAGAAGGTAAGGCACTTGACCGTTTATCGAGGAAGAAATCGTCAAGTTGATTAACTGGTCTTTGAGAAGAGGGAGTAGAGTCCTAACATCCGGGAAGGGTGCCTATGCATCTTTGTCAGTACAATTTGAGAGGCGTTATATATTCCTCACTTTTAGGATCTTCAGTCTCGCGAGAACGCCTGGAGATAAGCCATTGAACCAATTTCCAGGGATCGAAGCAAGCTCAATCCGCTCGAGGAGTGGATGAAAAGTCCAAAACTCTGAAGCAACTTCCGCGGTCCGGGCCATGAATTTCCCGAGTATCAGGACCCGAAGTCGAGGGAAACATCGAGTGAACAAGCCACTTCTGACAGTCGCATCTACATAGTTCGCGTCTTCAATACTGAGGTCTAGTGTATGAAGGAGCGAGAACGATGCAGAAAGGGTATCGAATAATCGCTCTAACCCTGATGCTGCTGTTGACTCGGCTAAGGCTGGGGTAAGCCACCGGACGGCCGACGTGCATACATGGATTACCTTCGCCTGGATATTCGCGTATATACTCGAGGCGAAACCTTTCCAGTCCCTGAGATCGTGTCAGGCTGCCCTTCAAGGCTCATGGCGACATGTGAGAGTACCTGGTATTCATAAACATTTGACTCTTCGAACCACCTATTTTCCTCGTAATCTACAACTCCAGTGAGAGATATTTCCTTCACCTTTGGGCATTTCTCTTTGAGCGAAGCCCAGAAGGAGCGGCCTGGCCTCCCAGAGTTGGTGATAATCTTATAGTTGTCCTCCATGTTCCACCCCAAGCCATCATCCATATGTATTGCGAGAGAGACAAGGTTAGGCAGGCCACATATGTCAATAAGGTTGAAAAGTTCAGTCAAGGCGTCAACACCACTCTTTTGGGCTTCTTTGGAGAGCTCGGATGATATAGACAGCCGGCGGATATGGTATGTGATAGGGATGATATTGGCATCCAATTGGGAGATCTTTTCCTTGTCAATCCCATGTACTTCCGTTTTGAACGCTTTCAAGACCCTCAAAGTACGTTCCTCGCCCTTTAAGAACACTTTCTGGTAGAGCAGGCGCGGAATAATGATTTTATTGAGGCGGCGATCTGTGAGTCCAAGAGCAAGAAGAGTCGAGGATTGGACATAGAAGGGCAGATGAGATGCGATGATGGGAAATATTTCAGGAAAAAGTGTGACCAGCGTGGTGCCGGGTTTATTCCCGCTCATGAATGTAAGTGATGGGTATCAAGGAGAGGATTTAGAGTAAACCCCATGCCGTGATGGTAATCCATACAACGAAATGGAGGGGGAGGAGTTCGAACGTATAGACGCCGCTGATCCGTTGTGGGACCGTTCAGATCGCCATGTTTTTCATTTTCCCTTCCAGATCCCCGTTAAGCACCTGGACACTGTAAAGCGCTCGAATATAGGGGACATCCTGAACGACTCGCACCATATAGCTTACTTCCAGCCCATGCCATATCAGGTTGGTAAGCTTATATTATTGATATACCGCGTATGGATGCGTAAGCGTCCGGCCATGCACGCGCGAAATCAACACGAAATTCTAACTTGAACCTGGAAGTTGAATCAGACATCAGTAATAGCTTTGTCAGGACGATTTGCCGCGTTGGTCAGGAATGTCGATCCACGTTCCAAACGGATGACTTACATATGATATGTCAGTACCAAGACCGCGATTGGTGTGTACCTTTATAAACCTTTCAACCCCTCCACCATCTTCCCCATCTTCTCTCCCTCAAATCTCATAAACACCATCATTTACTGATATTCTTTACATAAACCTGTAGACCAAAATGCCCTCCTACGTCATCACTGGTGCATCACGAGGGATCGGTGTATGTCCAGTTGAATGTCTTTTAAGGTCTATGAATACTGACTACCTTCGAAACAGTTCGAGTTCGTCCGCCAGATAAGTGAAGACGAGAATAATACTGTCTTTGGCATCGTCCGCAACCCAGCGACCGCCAAAGAACTCACTTCTTTGAAACGCCCCAACGTCCACGTTCTCAAGTCTGACGTCACAGACCATAGAGGTTTGAGTGTGAGTTTAAGAACTACTATATACTTTCTCCTTTTACTGAAATATATTATCGCAGGCGGCCGCGGCGGAGGTAGCCAAAATCACGGGTGGATCACTAGACTACCTAATCAACAATGCAGCTGCTGTAAATGACGAATTCGCTCACCTCACCCTCACTGGATTGTGCGTCAGTTTTTTGCCTCCATAGAGATTTTAGCTAAGATAGGCTTCCCAACAGCGAGGACCAGGATGTGCTTGCACAAAGTCTGCGCGGCATGGTGCGTTTTTGAGGGTTGTCAGAACTATCACGACAATTAAATTCTGGCTTTAGTTCAACGTCAATGTCGTCGGAGTGGTGTTCACCATCAATGCATTCCTTCCATTGCTCCAAAAGGGCTCTGTCAAAAAAGTTATCACAATCAGCAGTGGGGTTGCCGACCTCGACTTGACTGTCACCACTGGCATAGCTGCGTCTGCGCCGTATTCCATTTCTAAAGCCGGAGTCAATTTGGCCGTTGGCAAATATGCAGCTCAATTTAAGTCAGAGGGTTTTATATTTTTGGCGTTGAGTCCTGGTCTTGTTGATACTTCCACAAAACCTCGTGAGCGTCATTGTAACTGATTAAAGATGAATAATGCACTTACTTATCCCCGTACTGCAGCTACACCTGAGGAGCTAGAAGGATATAAGCAGATGATTACCGCGTTTAAACAGTATGACACGACCTTCGAGGGTGCTATCACTCCGGAACAGAGTGTCAAGATGCAGCTGGCAGTGATCAACAATGTGACAGTGAAGGACACTGGTGCATTCATTTCGCACCATGGTGACAAGCGGTGGCTTTAGGCGTAATATCTCTCTTTGCATGACATTGTAAAATATAAAGTAATCACATGGCCCGTATTAAATTCAAAGTCGGTAAATAAATTTACAGTACGTTTTTTATCCTTCACTGAGTATGGTTTGTTTAACCAACGGAAGCCTAAATATAATGAGCTGTCCAAAAATAGCCAACTTCCAACTCGGACGTTTATGACGAATGGACGAATGTAATTACCTCGACTCGACTGCATTCAACGGTGAGATGGCCGAGCGGTCCAAGGCGCCAGACTAAGGAATGACCAGAGCAGTAGCTGCTCAGTATATCTGGTCACTTCGGTGGCGTGGGTTCGAATCCCACTCTCATCACTTTTGCATCTACGTTCGAATTTTTTATATATTCGTATTAGTTCGGTATATCACCATTCCAGTACTACGCCAAAATCTCAAATCACAATTTTTGGGACCGCTTCAAGTCGTTGTATGTATGCCATGTACATTGGAGTTTTTCAGTCAATTGTGTCCCAGTAATTGCCAAAGTCTTCAGCACATCAGCCAGGGAACATCTAAAACAAATGGTAGTCCTAATTATTTGTCTAGATTAATTGAAATTGTTTGTATAGAGTTAGAGTGAGAGACGAGACAACAAACGAGCGTGATTGAGGGATATGCAACAACTAAGATAATAAAATGTACGAACGCAATGCAAGGAGTGGCAATAACGATGAGTGTAGGGTTGGGTAGAAGTCGCCAGGGACGAGTATGGCGAAAGAGAGTGGTGAGAACGGAATCCCGGTGATCCATCCATTATTGGGTGCGTATAATATATTTCCCAACGGTCTGGTGGTTTGGTCCGTGAGATGCGGTGGCCACCTCCTGACCTACATAATGACACAATCTTTGTCCTTCCCGCCTTTGCCCCCCTCTCCATCTCCACTCCCATCACCTCGGTGAAGTACCGATCCAGGGCCTCCCGGCTGACGCATAGGCTGATTAGGCGAGCCTTTTAACCGTTGGGCCGCACGTTTGTCACCTAGGTCAGTTGCCCTTTTGTAGTACGAAATAGCCCTACAATATGGGTCGGAATCAGTGGACAGAAAGGAAAAAGGCGTGTTTCGGCCTCCGTCGACATGAAACTCACTCGGGCATACTTGCGGTTGTGCCAATGCCAACCTCTAAAAAGTATCCGACGGCGTACATCGCCTTGGCCAGGCCGGCCTCTGCGGCCTTTTGTGCCCACAGGAAGGCTTCCGTGTCTGACTGTGGCAAGACACCAGGTGACCCAACAAGGTACCAGGCTGTCAATGCAAAGCACGCGTCTCTATGGTTTTGTTGTGCTGCGATATTCTGATGTCCAAAGTAGTGTTAGTATTGGACATGAAAGATCACAGGAAAATAGAAACACACATAATAGTGAATGGATAATGCAGGGTCCTGTGGACAGCCCATCTTCCCATATTCATAACACTCCCCCAATCTATATGCACTCGGCGCATATCCAAGTTCCGCCGCCTGTGCCAACAGTTCTGTCGAGTACTCAAAATCCACGAATAGAACGTTGTCTATACCCCTCTCATGTAGCAGCGCCAGTTCATGAAGTGCGTGAGGAAATTCGGCTGTTGCATGTTCCGCACTCCGTTTCAACCACTTAACGCCCTCCTTGGGCCGCTTAGACAGTCCAAGTTCCCCATTTAGCTCTGCAATACCCAGGCGATACATAGCGCCTGGATGCAAGGCGGCGGCGGCTTTTCGGAAGAACTGGAGGGCTTTGGCCGACTCCCGCCGACACCCCCATCCGTTTTCACAGCATGTGCCTGCTCGATACGCCGCGTCGGGATGACCGTGTTTCGCTGCGAGGACGAAGAGAGGGTACGCCCGATCGAAGTCTTGCTTCGACTTTACGGTTCCTATACCGTTCGCGTAGCAGTCCGCAAGGAAGTACTGTGACGCGGGGTGCCCCCGATCGGCGAGACGTTTAAGAAGAGACGTAGACTCCCGGATGAGCTCTTCGCGCTTCTCAATCGCTTTTTCAACCTGGAGAAGGTTCCCTGGTGTCGATGGTGGGATGGGAAGAGATTTCGAGGCGTCGATCATGAACACGGCGAACTCGAACTGGAGATCAGGATCCTGCGTCTTCTTCGCATTTGCCCGGTACAGCTCAAGCGTACGTTCATGCGACAGCAAGGCCGCCTGTTTACCAGGGCGGAGATGGGAATGATCGAGGATGGGGCCGGCAGGTGGCGGCGAGGGTGCTCTCACGGACTGCGTGGCAAGAGAACTCGTGGGTGGATGATCGGGAAACGCGGAATTTGCGAGGCCATTGTTAGGCGACCCATTGAAGAAATCGTCGTTGTCGTCGAGATCCGGCGAATCGTCGTAATTGTCTTCCGCGTCGTAGTTGAAGTCTGGCTGTTGTTGTCCCGGGCGTGGCCTTGGGAGTTCCCTACTGGGGCGAGCGTGGTTGTTTGGAATGGCGGGGTTGTACTGGTGGTCTGTTTGGTACTGCGAGTCCGTTTGGTAGAGTGATTCTCGTAAAAGGTCATATTGTTCTGGCTCCCTCTGAAACTGAGGTTGGTGTTGGAAGTCCTGAGTCGGCTCCTGCGAATTACCTGCTTGAGGATGCTGCCTTGGGTCGAACGTCGGCTGTGGTCTTTGCTGTTGCTGCGCGTGCATGATGGTCGGAGCTCAGCAGCAAACGCAAGTGGGTCTGTCATCAGTCAGAATGGTCATGACGCGCCCGTTCCTTAAAAGAGATATTTGGAACCACGCTCACCTATAGGACCCGGTTAAACCCTCCCAACTACGTATACAAAATCAGATAGGTTTCCGGTCTTATGACTTGGTCGTGATGTCCAAAATTACCGTGTTACAGCAGGAGAAGGTTAGTGTTCTGTGTTAAGGTTGTCAGACTCCTGTTTGAGCCCAATCCAAGCAAGCGCAAACTCCCTGAAAACAGTTCTAGCCGTCAATTTCGGCTCTCAAATTTATCGTTTCCGTTCATCATGTCGGGCAATTTAGTCTCGCTCATTACCCCGACGACCACTCTCAAGTTCGTTGATTACATACTCGCCAACATCCTGTCTGATCCTTCACCTTGGTAGGGTCAGTTCAACGCTGGACAAATCTGTTGGTAAAAAACATATTATCGATGACAGTCCAGAAACTTGTTGGACTTCGTTGGAGGTACGGGGCCTTCATACCACGCAGAGTTCTATATTTATATTTAAATACGCTATGGAACCTCAGGGTTTACCGCAGTACATCCAACTTTCATTTGATACGCCAGTGATACCGAAACGAGCTCTTCTCACCTTCCAAGGCGGGTTCGTGGGGACACATTGCTCTGTCTACACAAGTTTGGATCTAACCAATAAGAAAACATGGAGCCTGTTGAAAGCGATATACCCAGAAGATGTAAATCGAAAACAGTCATTCGATCTGCACCCCCCGATATCCGGTAACATCAATGAAGGAGTTACCTCGATCAAGCTGGTCTTTGAAACGAGCTCTGACTTTTTTGGTAGGATTACTGTGTATGACTTGAAGTTAGAGGGGACAGTGCCTGCATGATGGAGTTTTATGCTAACCTCACAAGTTGGGGAGCGACGGCATTGGGGCGAAGCTTTTACTCAACGAGAACCACTCTACCCCGACGATCACGACGATCCACGGGGAATGGGTTGAGGCTAGTGAAATTTAGTACGTTTTTTTCTACTTCCAGCTATACAGTGCCGTTACGAACCATAAATGCCCAGTATCCCATTCTCCGCCAACTATTTATATCGCAAACCCAAATGATACTCTACATCACAGGGTCACCAACGGAATAGCACTATCCTAGATTACAAGTACCAGAGAGGACTGAGTAACTTCCACCAATCACACCTATTAGACATTTCAGCCGGAGATCACCCTTCCCAGCCCCGACTCCAATCTCTATAGTGAGATCATACTCTACGTGAGACCAGTCGAGCGCGAGTACCCTCTCCATAAGGATATCGAATAATCCGTACAGCCATTGGAAGCACGTTTTTTTTATACCCTCGTCTGATTCTTTTTAGCGCGCGCCATTAGTATCTTGGAAGACCACCCACGCCCTTGCGGCACTCCGGCTGAAATGGAACTTTGGTTTTGCCAGATATGATCCTCTCAGATGTGAGAAAAACCTCTCTATAGGTATACGTTTCTCAGAGATTGGTGGGGCTTAACGTTACCCCAAATTCGTCTTATGTCACCACTTTACCCGAGGACGACTCGGCAGTTCTCTAATGGGGCCAGTCCGAAAACATTATCACTATCCCCATGTTAAAATCGATCAATGAACCTCAAAAAAACGCTGGTGTCTGCATCAGTCTTACCCTCAGGATCGTCAAAATCCCAGAATCGTGAACAAGTGGTGCCTCGTCACTATAGGAGTTATCAAGTAAAGATTAGAGGAATACGAGACCCCGTGTATGTCTCTTTCTATCCATAACATAGAGTTAAGCTAAAGCTATTTTTTTTACTTGGTGGTTTGATCGTTACCTTGATGGTTCAAAGTACCTCTCTAACCCACCAGGGAAACCCCCGACTACTATCAAAGTGATCAAGGCCTTGAGATCGAAACATCTAGATATCATTATTCATTGATATCACATAAGGAATACAAAGTAACCATATGCATGCACTCATTGTCATTGGCGAGATATCGACATTTTTCGTTCACTTCGAGTTGTTGTGAAGTCTTAGGTGTGGAGTGGGCACTTGCGTCAAGACCCATTCTGATCGGAGAATTCCACTTAAGCTTAACAGAATCCACTCGACGTAAGAAAGCGTTTTCCTAAATACAACCTGGACTTTTACTCGGAGAAAGGCGGGATCCCGTTATATAGACCAGATTATAAACTGATCTATTCTTAACCAACGACCAAATATAGGTTGCTCTTGATCCCACTCACTGCAACAGCTTTAGTATCTCATTCAAGGCTCGGACTTCAACTGCATATGTCTATTCACGCGAACATGTTTGACAAACTCGTCAGCCCCTCTAAATGGACTGAAGAAAATGAATCAGTAAGACCAGAAAATCAGTGCCGATAACATCTCAAGGTCCCAATCCTGGCAGGACATTATGGCACCCTACACGTACTTGACGTCTAATCCAGGAAAAGAGGTTGTTCGCCATATGGCCAACGCTCTAAACGATTGGTTTCATGTTCCCCCCGAACAGCTAGCCTTGATCATCAAAATATCTTCAATGCTTCAAAATGACTGTCTCTTGTATGTTTGGAGGATCGAGGCAACTCGGGAAAACTTCGATTAACTTGCTTCAATATTACAATATAGATTTGACGATATCGAGGATGGCTCAGAACTTCGCCGTGGACAAC